TGTTTCAAGATTGAAAGGGGGGAAGGGGAGCTGGCTATTGGAAGATACTTTTTTCAAAAACAAAATAACGCTTGATGGACAGCGTTTGCTTTGCCGAAATGTCTCAAATCTTTTGTCCCGGATTGTCAACTTTAGACACTCAGTGTATCCTTTCCCCGCTTTTTAGGTCCAGACAAGAGAACAGTTTTCCCGCCCCAACCCTGAAGAAACCTAAGATATCGCTGTATACATACAGGAATATCTTCAACAGGGAGTTCAACTTGAGTTTTGGTTTACCGCAAACAGATACGTGCGCCAGGTGTGAAGCTTTAGACATGGCATTGTTGTCCTGTGGCGGGGAGGACGAGATGAACCGCCTTCTAGAAGAGTGTCGAGAACACCAGGAAAAAGGGGGAAATGGATGCGAATCCAAGAGGAGGGATAAGCAGCGCACTCAACAAAGCTGGAAGGGCAAGACCCGCACCCTTGGAGAGAACAGCACTTCAAAAGACGCGATTGACATGATAACTTTTGACTTCCAACAAAATCTGCCCCCGCCACATCTTCATCACAATGACATTTTTCATTTGAGACAGCTATGGACATATAATTTTGGCATTCATGACTGCATTAACGAGCAAGGATACATGTTTTTATTGAGTGAGACCACAGCAAAACGCGGTTCATCAGAATTTGCCTCATGTCTCCATAAATTCTTCACAGAATTCAAATCAGGAGCAAGGTTAGTCGTTTGTTGCTGTAAACTCTTTAACAAAAAAAACCGTTAGCCTTAGGCAGGCAAGGAGGTAACGAGTGCTCTTGTCATTTTTATGTGCCTTGTAACAGAACAAAGCTCGGTTAAATCCTTTTTGTAATTGTTTTTTCAAGAAGTTCCTGCTATGGATTGTTAAAAATGCGGGGTTTGTAATGATTTCGAAGCTGGGCTAGCGGAAAATTGGCGATGTTACCCAGGTTTTTACTCTCACAAGCACACTTAATTTTTTAAAATTTTTATGAATTTTTTGTAAGAAACAGTTGACGGGCCGCGAGTTTGAGAACATTCTCAGAACATGATCGGGCTAAGCTGCCCAAGCTAAGAAATGTGACTAGTAGAGTAAAGGGGGTTAGCTTTTAAAGAAATTCTTGTGCCGCATCGGTGAGGGTGTGGTACACCAAAATTGGTCTTATCAACTAAATCCATTTGCAGTGGCCAATTTTCATTATCAATTCCGTTGATAAAACCACTAGAGTAAACCTACCAATATTTTTTTCCTTTACAGGTCACTTGTGAGTTATTCTGATGGATGTTGCGGCCAAAACAAAAATGTAACAATAATTGGTTTTTATAATGAAATGCACCGAAATAGAGTATATGAAAGAATCGACCACAAATATCTTGAACGAGGCCACACATTTTTGACATGTTCTGTCATCTCCCTGAGACAATTGTCAATCTTTATTTATCCTTTCTTTCAATAGTGGGAGATGCAAGCACATGCAGAGATATTCCCAAACACTCTAACCTTAGAGATGGATTTTAACAAGTCTATCAAAACACCTAAGGTCAGTGCCCAAAATTTAAATTTCAAATTGAAACTTACAGCACATCAGATGAGTATTTACTACGCAAACAACAAAGCTATTCATTGTTTCTTCTATAACGAGACCATCAGTAGGGCAGAACCAAATGAGGTAATATCGCTTTTGGATTACATACTAAGTGATATCGAAGATAAACTTGGAAAGAATGACATATCATTAAATGGTGTGACGATGCACCTGGAGAGTTCAAAGAGTGCTACTTGTTTTCTACATTGATCACTTTATAAAAAACACCAACTCTTAAGAGCTAATTTAAAATTATTGCACAAGGGTCACATCTACTCTGTTTAAGACAGATGATTTGGAACTACACAAAGACTCTTCAAGAACCAAGAACTTGTTGACATTCCAAAGACATGGGCAGGTATTTTGCAAAAAGGAAACCTATCAAACCCCTCGGTTCACTGGGTCACACTAGATATGCTTAAAGACTATTAATCATTTCTCTGGATACAGTGCGTCACCTGAAACAAGGACTTAGCAAAATTAAATTTAAACATATTGCTTGGCTCAGTTACAGATATGGAGAAAGGATTAAAAACAAAGGCCACCTTCAATCTGTTTATCATCCTGAGAGTGTGTTCACTAGATCCAAGATGAATGTTACACAACCACCAAAAAGTCTCCTTTACCAAGAAATAAAACAAGGTGCTGAATATTTCTCTCCTGTGCAACAGGAAAGGCAGCTACTAAATGTTGATGTTAAACACTATTATGTCCAAATAGCACAGAAGAACGTATGTAAAAGTGCACTTTGACTTTCAGTCTCTGCCATTCATTGAGGAAAAGAATGAAAATAGCTCAGGTAGGAAACAAGAAAATGCTAAGATGTGATACTTCAATTGCTTGCTC